GTTCGAAACTACCAGCCGCTCCGCGGGAGAAAGATGAGGCTTTCTACTCCCGTAAGGATTTACACCCTCGGAAACCCTGTGCAGGGTCGCTATGGGTCGGAACCGACTCGACGGCACATAACAACAACAACAACAACAATGGTCAGATAGACCACCAGAAGATTAGCCCCTGAGATTGGGAGGCACTAAAAATACGACTAGTAAGAGCTGCCTCCTCAAAGTAAAGTTGACCTTAATGACAGGAAAGGCAGCAAAGTTCTCAGGACCTTCATTTGTAGATGAACACAATTTAAAAAGTAGAACATGGGATATCACTGCTTAGGTCAGGTGGATCTTAGCTAAAAGCAGAGAATGCAAGAAAATGTTTACTTGTGCTTTATTGATTATGCAAAGGCTTTTGATTGTGTGGGTCAAAACAAACTATGGATAACATTACTAAAATTGCGTATTCCAGAACACTTAATTGTGTTCATGAAAAATGGGTGCAAAGACCAAGGGGCAGTTGTTCAAACAGAACAAGGAGACACTAAATGGTTTAAAATAAGGAAAGGTATACACCAAGGTTGTATCCTTTCACCATACTTAATAATCTGTATGCTGAACACATAATCCGAAATGCTGAATTATATGAGGAAGAACATGACATCAGGATAGGAGAAAGACTTATTAATAATCTGTGATATGGAGATGACACAGCCTTGTTTTCTGGATATGAAGAGAATTTAAAAAACTGATGAAGATCACAGACAACAATCTTCAATATGGATGGCACCTCAATGTTAAGAAAACAAAAATACTCACAAGTGGACCGATAAATAACACCATGAAAAGCAGAGAAAAGATTGAAGTTGTCAAACACTTCATTCATTTTGCTTTGCTCTACCATCAACACTCATAGAATCAGCAGACAAGAAATCAGATGACTCATTGCATTAGGCAAATCTGCTGCAAGAGAGACCTCTTTAAAATGTCAAAGAGCAAAGATGCCAGTTTGAGGACTAAAGTGTCTGATCCAAGTCATGGTATTTTCAATCATCTCATATGCATGTGAAAGTTGAACAATGAGTAAGGAAGACTGTAAAATAATCACTGCATTATGGTGTTGATGCAGAATACTTGAAAGTACTAGGGACTGCTAGAACAAACAAATCTGTCTTGGAAGGAATATAGCTAGAATGTTCCTTAGAAGCAAGACAGCAACACTTTGTCTCTCATACTCTGAACATGTTGTCGGAAAGAACCAGTTCCTGGAGACGGACATTATGCTTTTTAAAGTGGAGAATCAGCAAAAAAAGAGGAAGACCCTTTACAAGATGGACTGGCACAGTTGCAATAACAATGGACTCAACATAACAATTGTGAGGATGGCACAGGACCGGGCAGTGTTTCGTTCTGTTGTGCATAGGGGTTGCTATGTGTTGGAACTAACTCAATGGCACCACAACCACAATAACAACATAGCAGGGACTGAATCATAATGAAAGGCACTATTATGAACTAAACATGATGTTATTGTTGTTGTTGTTGTTGTTGTTGTTAAGTTGCAGTTGAGTCAGTTCCAACCCTCTTATTTTATCTTTGTTTATCAAAGACCCAGAAATGCAATTTATTCATTAAAACTTCAGCAAACTAATAAACTACCATCAAAAAGGTGTTAGATACCATTCATCCTTAGAATTTCAAATCATAAATTTTTACTGGCTTATCAAATAACTCATATTTTCCTAGCCCAGAGGGATAAACAACATTTCCCCCCAGGTTTTCTGTAGTCAGGTAGGCTACTCCTTAGGCCTCTTCAAGCTTAAAAAAGTTACTTGTTTAAGTCACTTTTTTGTTTACATGTTTTCTAGATATGTTTACATGTCTAGAAATGAAAAAAGCTGTAACCAGCCCAATTCTCTGGCCTTTCAAAGCCTTATTCCTATTTCTACCATAGCCCTATATTGCAATGCAATATTTTTCATATTTCCAGCCAAGACATTAGAGTGAACACAAAATCTGGGGCATAGTTTAAAACTGCTATTATAAGTATAGACTTATCTTTCAAGTCTCTTATTTTATCTGAACAATGCATATGAATTTCACATTTATCTCATACTATTTTCATATAACAATAATGCTTTCCTCAAAAATTAAGTAAAACTAATACGCTAGTAAAACGCACCATATCTGTGAGGAGGTATATACTGTTATATTCCCTCATACTCCGCCCAACTCAAGTAGGGATTAGGTCATTGTAATACAGTCAAGGACTAACTTATCTTTAATCACACTAGGTTGATTGCAGAATCCTTCAGAGCTATGTACATTTTTAACTTTTCATTTCTAATCCCGACCATAAAGCCTGACACAAAAGCGTTATTTCAGAATGGATTTCTGGGTAGAAGGATGAATACTGGAGGACGTGGCTCTGGATGTGGCTATTAGGAGCACAGTGTTCATAAGACTTCAGAATTGCTGCCCAGCCTTGAAACAAACAGTAGTAACAAAACCCAACCTCTACTTCACTTAATTCCTCTATTTCAAATAGCCCACCGGGGGAATGCATTCAATTCAGTTCTTTTTCATTCCTTTGCTACCTAATTTTTTAGTCTTATTACCATACAGGGACAAAGCTTTCAAACTTAAGGCTGTCTTCATGTCTATTACAATGTCTCTGCTTAAACATCGGTCTGTGAAACCTAATATATTAAGTAGACATTCTATTTACTCAAAGTTACTGTGCAAATATCCTTGGTTGATGAGATATTAAACTGAGTACAATCTCAGCTGATTCTAAATAAAGAGAAGCCATTCTCACAAGTCAGAAAACAGTAATACAATATTTTTTAAACTGCTAAGAAAATAAAACTGCTGATAGTTTTAACATATTTTATAGGCTAAGCCAAACTTACAATACTAAATATTATACAAAACATCTCATTCTATTCCCCTGGATATGGAGATATAACTTCCTTCCTAATAAAATAAGGGAAAAATGGATTGAACTTACTATATTAATAAAAATGACATATACCTGGCTCATTTTGTTTGAACAGGATGTATCCAACTTAAAGTTTATTAAATCCAGGTAAAGAAAATACTAGTAAGTTTCTTCAGGATTTATTTCATGTCCAGTAATATTTGAACCCTAACAGAGAGACCAGAAACTCAGAAATCTACAAAGTCAGTCTTTCCAAATACAGGAAGAAAGGCAAAGAGGAAAAAAGGAAGGCAAACCAGCATTTCTTGATGTTCTCTTATTTTGTCAGCAAAAGAAAATTATGAGGACAGCAAAATAATGCTAAGTAACAAATAGAAAAAAATGGCACTAAAGGTACAAAATGAGTCCTGGTGTGGCGCTAAAGGATAAGCAAGGGACTGGTAATTACAAGGTCGGCGGTTCAGACCCACCAGCCACTCTCAAAACACAGGAATGCTATGCGTCAGAATGGTCTCAATGGCACACAACAACAGAGGTACAAAATTAGACAAAGGCCAGAACTGTAATAAAAAGACACTCACCCCTAAATCTGGCTGCTAATCTCACAGTCAGCAGTTCGAAACTACCAGCTGTTCCGCGGGAGTAAGAGGAGGCTTTCTGCTCCCGTAAAGATTTACAGCCTCGGAAACCCTGTACAGGGTATGAGTCGCAACCAACTCCACAGCACATAACACCAACAACAACATCCCCAAGGGCAAGCACTCTGAGGATTAACAAAAAGTAGAGAGGATGTGGTGGGATGTGCTGAGCAGGGGTAGAGGACCAACTAGGCAGAGATTAATGGAAAGGGAAATACGGTTCTAGGAGACAGTGAAACAGGGGCTTTATAATATAGGAAAACGATGGAAATTTAGAGACGGGACAGGGAAGATAATAACAGGCTTTGTTGGGAGGCCAAATAATCTGAAATTCCCATCATCATGACACTTTACCAAGTCAACATTACATCATAGCTATGCTTCACTCACCTGGAAGGCATAACTGCAATTTTTCTACTACCGTTGTAATATTCCTCTGCTGAATTCTACATCGAATAATATCTTCTGTTTGGACTATCACCTTAAAAAGAAGAAATATTCATATTTTTAATGAATAATTTAATGGCATTCACATATTAAGTACACACAAAAAATGTTATCACTGTCTCACCTCTTTTCCAGCATCTTGAAACCTTCGGTTGGTATCAGTAACTTGCACCTTAAAAAAAAAAATCACATTAGAAAAATATGCATAAAACTGCCCTGATGTAACTGCTCACCCTTGTAATCAGATCATGCTTCATGAGAAACTTAGAACAAAGACATGCAAATTCAAATTAACTCTAAAGCTTGAACTTGAACTTTTGATTGAAAAGGGCTTTTGTTAACTTCAATTACTTATGACAGATCTTTTTAACAGATTCTGTGGCAAACTACTCAATTTACTCAGGATTTTTGAACTTTGCTTGTTTCTCTAAGTCTGTCAAACAATTCAAATCACTGACCCAATTGACCACTGGTCCCTTTTTGGTAACTTCAATGAGGTCTATGTGCCATTCATTGTCTGCAGGAAACGGTGATTGCATTTTATGGTAATTAAACATTCATACTTTGCTGAATGCAAACACTGGGTGGTTGATTAACATCAAACACGGAAATCTCCAATCCAGCAACATGTTAATGCTGCAGGTGCAGGCTAAACTCAATCTCAAATGTTCCCACATATTAAGTGACTCATTAGGTCATCATAGTAAGGAAGTTCATTCTGGTTTATTAAAAATCTCATTAATTTCTGAACAAAGATGCTAAGTGACCTCATTGACGCTGTATTTGGTCTCATTATCTGAATATCCTTTATATAATGGTTTTTTAATCACAACCTTTGGTAGATCAGGGTCAGTCTGTCTGCTAAACTCTCCAAATGTAAAGAAAGATAAACAGGACAATTCTTATAATTAAATATTTTGTGCTTCAACAGTACAGAACAGTTTCAATATTTTAGCCATTTAAAAATATACATGATAAAATGTTTTTAAATACTTTATAGTTTTTTACATCAATATTGTATTGCCGTTTTAAAAATTCTAAACGTGCAAAAAGGGCCTTTTGTTATTATGTATTTTCCACCTCCTCGCCCTGCCCCCTCATCTATATATTTTTTAAAGTTCATTTCCCTGCATAGAAATCCAGTTAAGTCAATGCATCATCTGCTTTAGGAAAAAAGAGACTATAGTTTCCATTAACATGACAAGTGTGCTAACAGTGCAGAAAGACTTCCCCAAATACAGATACTAATCCATTCTTGAAAGCAGCATATTAAACAACATGTATATTTTTGTGCCTATCCAGTATAAATTGATACTTAAGTAATTTAATGAAAATAAAATCAAATAGAATTTTATTTTTTACCTTCAGTTTTTCTGCATCTGTCCTTACTTTAAGGAGTTCCGTAATAGCATCTACAAAACCTTGATGATGAAAATTACACATTTTTTCTATTTCTTTATCATGATTTCGGATACAAGCATCTAACTTTTCCATAAACTTCTTGTGTGCATTTGGTTGATCATCATACACAGACCTGTATATACATTAAAAAAAAAAAAAAGCTAAAATTAGCTTCCTAGTTCACCAAAACGTACTCCTTATTACATCTCATCTTTTCAATAGATGACATTTAAAAATAAACTCTCTGAACAGATCATTTTGGTTGGCAGTACTGCCTTTATTAGATTTCTGGTGTGGCATTGTGGGTTACTTTGCTGAACCGCAAAGTCAGCTTGAGCCACAAGCTCTTGAACCGACTGCTGAAGCTGGAGGTTTAAGTTCACCGGCTGCTCCTCAAAAACCCTATACAAGATACAAGGTCGCTATGAGTTAGAACTGACTCAACAGCACTTAACAACAATATTGCCTTTTACTAGAAAGAATTTCAGTGTAAAAGTATTTGTTAATATTTAATTTAACCTTGGACACCAAGGACGGGAAACTTCCCTGTTTTACAACACTCCCTGCATTTGCCACACACTGTTATAAGCGAAGTGCTGTCTGCACAACTCCACTGGGAGAAGACAACTATAAGTTTATTCCTAGGACTTCTCTTAGAACCTGTGCTATGTATTTCTCCCATTGCTGATTTTAGTCTGCATTCCTTTTGTTTTAATAAACTATAACCAGAGTATATCAGCTTTGCTGATTCTATGAGTTCTTCAAGCAAATTACTGAACCTAAGCGTGCGTGGTCTTGGGGACATGCCAAACTGCACCCCGTCAATTGCTGTTTATCATTTGAGGCTTAATCCAAGTTCCAGTTTTTCCAAATAGACCTTTACTAACAATTCCATGCCAAGTAACTTTTCTATATGAAGGATATGTACCCATTTATGCACATTTTGACATGTAATCACATATTACTTTGTATTATGATTTAAATGCCCCTGCTGTAGGATAAGCAATGAGTTGATCATTATGAATCAAACCGACTCAACTGAACTTAATAGAAGCAATATATATACACACAGATGGAGTTCAGGTGTGGTGCTGTAAGGTAGGCAATGGACCACAAGGTCATTTGAATCACAAGGTCAGAGGTTCAAACTCACCAGCCGCTCCTTGGAAACTCTATACAAGGTCACTGTGACTCAGAATTGACTCAACAATACTTAACAACAACAGTATATATCAGGTACTTCTTTCTCTACATAGACCATAAGATTCTTGAAGGCAGACACCATGCCTTAGGCTGTTAATGAGTATTATAATATTGAAGACAGCAATTTTTAACGCCCTAGATTCTTTAAGAGCTGAGCTAGAACTTGGATCACGTCTTGGCCATCTCATTTCTACCTGTGCTACTCGCTTTATTTCATCCTCACTTAAAATTTAAATTGTGGCTTTAAATTTCATACATTTACTAGTGTCCCCCAAATTTCTATTTCTAGTGCTGGTCTCTTCCTCCAGAACCTCAAAATCATATACAACTCAACTGGATGACTAATACATCCAAGTATGTCCAAAAATTAATTCAAATATGTCAAAAAAATGAACTCCTGATCCCCCACCCCCTGCCAAGCCTGCTCCTCTCACAGACTTCCCCATCCATTCTTCCTGTTGCTCAGGCAAAAAGAAAACAAACCCTGCCTGAATTTACCCATGACTATTCTCTTTCTCTCACCCTCACCACACCACACCACCCAAACACAATCCAGGAAATCCAACTATATTCTCACTGTCTCCACTGGTGCTATCCTGAACCAAATCATCACTAGGCCTTGCCTTAGATTAGTAACAACTGCTTCCTACCTGGTCTCCCTAATTCCACCCTTACTCCCCTTTAGTCTGTGCTCAACACAAACAGAAGATTCCATTAAAAAAAAAAACAAAAAAAATCCAGACCCCATGTCTGTTTAAAAATCCTATTTCTCTTACAACAGCCCATGAAGTCCTATATCATATTGCCCATGTTTCTGCATTGACTTCACATCCTACTCCTCTCCACCTCACTTATTCCATACCACAACACAAGCCTTCTCATGAATCCCAAACACACCAAGCAAATTCTTGTCCTATGCTCTGCACATGGTTTGCTCTGCCTGGACCACTCTTCTCCCATGTGGCTGCCTCCCTGTTCTCTTTCAGATCTTTCATCCCCTTCTTGGTGAAGACCTCCATGACTACAATATCTGAATTACAGGCATACACACATACATGCACACACACATGTGTGTGTACATTTTCTAAAGTAAAGGAGTTTACATGAGGCACTGTGAGCTAATGCATCAGACTGCAAAGTCATTTGAACTGAAAGGTCAGTGGTTCAAGCTCATTAGCTGCTCCTTGTAAACTTTATACAGGGTCGCTATCGGTCGGAATCGACTCAACGGCACTTAACAACAACAATATATTACTCTTACCACTGTAAAATATGCTTTTACTTACTATTCATCCTTTTACTTACTATCTATCTTCCCTCACAGGAATGTTACGTTACAAGAAGAAAAAGCTTTTTGGTATATTGTTCCCTGTTGCATCCTCAGCCCTGGACATGTCTGAGTAAGCAGGAGCTTACTAAACAATTGATAAATAAATGAATGGATGGAAACAGAAAGACCAGTTACTAGCTGCTCAACCTCAGGTAAACCACCTAACTTCTCAAAATCTCAATTTTTTCAACCATAAAATGGGAGGCAAAAGTAATATCAATATCAGAGTATTGTGAAGATTAAATTAGTGAACACAGGACAGTTCTTAACACTCTATTTAAAAACTACACTACTTGCTCAAAATTATGATACACACTTAGTATCTACTAGCTACTAGCACATTATGCACATAAAGACAACCAAACTCCTGAATAATTGAATAGCTTGCTATACATATCAAATAAATCGAAGTGAGCACTCAATCATAACATGCTAAATGATTTGACTACCACAAATGAAATACTAGATGTAAAAATGAAAAATGTTTGACATTTGTATGAAGACTTTTACATTGTCAAATCTAGTATTTCATTTGCTTTGCATGTTATAGAAAGAAATACCAGTTCCCCATTTTCACAAATGAGGAAAAAGCACAGAAATGGAAATGATTTGCTGAGTGTAGTCTACTGGTAAGAGACAAATGCAATAATAGGATTCCTACCCAATATACAAGAGTTTTTCCCACAATGTACGAGAGTTAGTCAAAAATTATCCACACTACGGTTATATAAAATGCCTGTCCATGGCTGAATGGGCACGCATGTGAAATGATTCTAACAGACGACTGATAGTAGATTATGCGGCAAATCAGCCCTGGCTCTGCCTATGAAATAATCCACAACAGGCTTGGGTTTCAAAAGGTTTGTGAGAGATGGGGACAGAAACAACTCACAGAAGAGCAGACACAGAAGCATTTGGACATCTGCAAACAAAATCTGAACCGATACTCAAAGGAAGACAAAAGCTTCTTTAAAAAAAAATCGTTACTGGTGATGAGGCATGGCTTCATCACTATGAGTGAATGGAAACATCCTCAATCTTCAACTAAGAAAAGGTTCAAAAGTTAACCATCAGCTGCAAAATTGATGCTTACAGTTTTCTGGGATTCTCAAGGGCCAATATTGGAACACCATCAGGAAAAGAGTTCAATAATCAACAGTGCTCATTACAGTGAGATGCTCACCGAAGAGCTGAAGCCTAAACTTCAGATTAAACACAGAGGACTAATATCTAAGGGCATTGTGATCTTGCACGACAATTGCACATCCCCACACCTCTGCCAACACTGTTCACACTCTGCAAAAGCTTTATTTTAAGGTGTTAAAGCATCCTTCCTATAATCCTGATCTTGTTCCATCAGACTTTCACCTGTTTGGTCCCCTGAAAACAGCCCTTACAGGATGAAGATTCACCTCTGATCAAGTGAAGAGAGTGGTGCATTTGTGCTCACAACTCAGTTTAGAATATTTTTTTTAAGAAGGGAATATGAACGCTTGTTGACAGATAGGCAAAGTATATTGAAAAGCAAGGAGATTATTCTGAAAAACATGATGTAGTTCTCTTTTCTAAAAGTTGATTAAAACAAATTCTACAGCCAGAGTGTAGATAATATTTGACTCACCCTAGTAGAACCGACTTGATGGCACTTAACAACAACAACAACAAGTAGATATAGTTAACAAGAATGCTTACACAGCATTATTCCTCATGAAAATCCATGTGCAATGAAAAAAGTTTAACTGATAAACTTAACTATAAGTAACAAATTTACATTTATTATAAATTTACATTTATTGCATATTTGTTGAAAATTTTCTAAGATGATACATGTATTCTAATAAATAGTTTTAGATTTATCTAGTTCTTAAAATATCATGTAGTAAACAGAACATACTGAAAGAACTGTACTTTATAATGGATACTTTGGAATGCCCTACTATAGGGCTCCTCCAAAAAAGGTGAACCCAGAGTCAAAGGTTATGCCTTTAAACACACACACACACACACACCGCCAAGACTGAAACTCAAAGGGAACACATGAGCAGACATGCAAGCTTGATGGCGACCACATTGGTCTACTGGTGAGTGGAAGAGGGGAAAGGCAGCAATGAAGAAATAAGCTGAGTTCAACCACGGTCTGTAGACTCCCGCTGACCTGGAGATGAGAAAGAAGAGGAAGGGCTGGTTGGTTCAAAGTGTTGTGAGACCTGGGGACACTTGAGCCCATGGACAAGGGCATAGCCATGGAGGGCTAGAGCTGAGAGTGAAGCATCCAGCTGATATGAAGTGAGGGGAGAGGCACAAGAACACCCAAACTTGCAGATAGTACCCATATGACCTAGCCTCAATGGCTTGATAATCAGAACTTGACTACAGGAAGATAAAAAAAAAAAAAAAATCTTTTTGATAAAGGAAACAAGGATAAATTGCTACAATTTGATGAACTTGACCTATACTCATGGAGGTAGTAACTCTAAATACAAACAGAGAGGGAAGGAGTGTTCACATCAAGTATCAATGCTATCCCCTCTGTACACAGAGTAGATAGGGATGGCCAACTTGGACAATGGCTACCTAAAATGAGAGGGTAATAAAGGCTC